AAAAATGATGCACACTGAAAGTTTTTCATTTGAGTTGTCAAATGATAGTTGTAGAATCAGGCATGTGCGCTACGGTGCATATCGTGTCACACCATGGTGCATGACACTAAGAGGATCAGGGCGTGTGGCTCCATGCCACATGTCGTGGCATATGTGTTGTTTGTCGCGATGCATGGCCCTTAATTTGACTTGATTTCTTTGTGTTTGAGGGATGCAAGGATTGGTGTGAATGCATATAATTTATTGTTACGTATTGCTTGGAAGTCTTATGAGTTTAATGATTTTGTAAATTGAGTTTTGGGCCTAAGCATTTCAAACAAAATATTTGATTATTGTTTGGTATACCCTTCCTAATATTGAGTGGATATGAGGAAAGGTTACACTCATCAACTTTTTAACACTTGGAAATTTTCTCTAGTCATGAATTCTGGCATATGGAATTATTTCTTGTTAAAATGGAATGGGGAGTTTTTTTTCTAAATGTTAAGTTGTCTACTAGCTTTGAACACTTCAACATTTTCTTAAATTAGTAATTTTGGCACATGAAATTATTTCTTGTTAAAATGGAATGGGGATTTGTTTTTTTGTTGAATGGTGAGTTATCCTCCAACTTTGAACATGTGGAAATTTTCCCAAGTCGGGAATTTTCGTACATGAAATTATTTTTTATTAAAATGGAATGAGGAGTTGTTTTTTTGTTTTTTGCCGAATGGTGAGTTCCATGCTTTATTTCCTTTCCATTAGAGGGGCATTTTCATAATTTTCTAGTTAAAATTAATCACAGTTAAGACCTCCAAGACTGTAGTGTAAATTTAGAATTAATTGATCATCAACTATGAATATGTTTCTCTAGGAGTCCTTTGAGTGCTCAAAATGGATATTGGCTAACAAAACGATATGCTTCGAAAGTTGGCCTTAGAGTGCTTTCATGATAGCAGGGGTGCATCACGGTGCAAGGTGTAATGAGGGGAATTTCCCTTTTGTGCCATATACCATTGCAAATGGACCATTTTGGAACATATTCAAATTGCCCTCTATTATGTATGATTGTAATTATTTCTTTTACTATGCTTTCATATCTTTTATTCATCCTTTTTAAATATTGTTTGAGCTCAAACACTTTTTAAAACGAGTTTTTTTGAATCCTAATCTTTATTATTTTTCAATTTAAACCTTTGTCTATTGTAATAACCCTTTACAAGGATTTACTTTATCCTGATCATGATAATAGTTTTGTGTGGTTTGTTTTGGTAATGTCAGGGTGGACATTATACTAGTCCTTCAACAAACAATGGAATAGTCCCTCAACAAATAGTGAGACAAAAGCTAGCCTTTGATTATCGACAGGTAGCCATAATAATACCATGTGGATTTATCTACTCCTCTCTCTAAGTTAACTCCTACTAAACAATCATGCAATGAGTTCATGCCCGCATATTTCAACACATACATATATATACAATAGCAAGCGTTTTGTCTTTAATGTAACAATAGGCTATTGCATGTGAGCATGACATATATTCATATATCACACAAAATTCTTATTTTTATTTTCATGTACTCATATCACATCCATCTATTCTTCATCTTTATTTGTACAGTGTACATAACTTACCACAACAACTCAAACATCTTATCCATTTATTAGCTTCTTTTAAAACATAATTACGATACTTCAAATTCAAACATCACTAGCTTTTGTATATATTCACAACTATCCCAAGTATTCATCCATATCAAGTAATTTATTTTCAAAAATATAAATCAATTAATAAATAATTATACAAAATAAATTTCTCCCAATTATCTCAAATCTTTGAGAGCTCAACTATTTACCCTTAAAGTAAATGCTTCCAAGCTTGCTCTCAAGCTCAAACTGGCGCATGGATGATTAATCTACAATTAATCATGTCCAAAAACATTAACACCATAATTTACATAACTTAACTTCTAATTTCAATTCTATAAATATCCTAAAACTCTCACTCTTAGCATACAAGCTTGCCCATTAGGTCTTTTAACTTATATTAACCTAACAAACTTCATTAGGTTCATTTATAGTTGTCACCACTACCTCACCAACCACATTTATTGTCCTTCAACAACTAATTTGTCCACAATAATGAGCTTATGCTCAAGGATGCATAGAACCCTTAATGCTAAGTCTAGGTGACTTCAGCAACTCCCATTAACTCCATTTGAGTCAATAAGTTCAGACCCATAGCCCTTATAATCTAAAAATAAACTATTTGCTACAAACCTAAGCTTAAAAAACAGTATAGAGATGAAAGAGAAAGATGGAGAAGACTTACCTTAGAAACAATGATTTATCTAATGATTTGGATGGTCTTGGGCATTTGCTGTTTAATTATGTTGTTCTTCCATGTTTGCATGATGCTGATTGTTTGATCATGAACAATGTTAAAAAAATCTGATTTGATTTGCTATGTAAAGCTGATGCAAAGTTTTGAATCTAGGAGATGGTATGATTTTGCATGTTTTATGGTTTTGGTGAGGGCTGAAATGCATTTCTGGTTATTTATTCAGTTTGAAAGTGTTTGAGCATGTGAAAATGAGGTTTCAAGGTGTTTTAAGGGAGTAAAATTAGTGTAGGTGCATTTTTGCTGGTTTTAATAAATTCTACAAATTTACCTCTGGTGCCATGGCACCTCTAGTTGAGTGCCACGACACTGATTGTAACAGAGCCCTAGAGTTCAGGGCATTAGGAAGTCGGGATCATGGTTTAGGAAGAGTATTTAAAAAGCATTTTGTTTATTTTCTTTAATTACATATTTAGATATATATATATATAATATTTTCATAAAAAATTTATTTTTCATTACTTTGTAAATATTATTCTTGTTTTAAAAAATAAAAAATAAATTTATATATGCATATATATATATATATATTTAGATTTTAATTTTTTTAAAAAAATTTGAAAACTGAGCAAAATTTGCAACCTTCATCGTTCAGCATTTCCCCTTTGCCCTAATTCATTTTCCTTTGCCATCGTAACTATCCATTCATCTTACTTAAGCACACTATACTCCATCACTACTCTCCCTTTAACTTGGCATCTTTATTTCGGGTGCTTGCTGTCGACAACCATAATTGATGCCGTGGACCACCTTTTATTTATATCAATTGCAAGATTCCTTTGCCGTTGAGCACTCCCCACCTGTGCCATATCCGAGCTTCCTCACCATTGTTTTCATCTCTGTCCTCCCCCGTCCAGTTCATCTTTATCCTTTATCACCATCATTACACCCCTACACTTCATCGTTAACCCCCTTTCATTGTTGAAGATTGAGTGTTCGAAATCTCTCACCATCATACCTTTAGTCTTACTTCATCTCTATCCATTACCGTGCATCTCGATCCTTAAAATGGTTGCATTAGAGCATTCATTCAACTTGGGTTATGCATTTTGGGTGCTGTGATTTTGTGTTGGGTTTTTGGATTGCTCTTTAGTTCTTTCCTAACTTTTGATTTCAACTTGTTCCTTTGCTCTTCCTACTCGCTTTGTGCTTTTCCTGTGACTGTCCTCTAGGTGCATACCCTTCTCCATGGTATCTCATTCCTACTTGTTGCTCGGTTGGGGTTGTTATATATGGTTTTTCTTTACATTAATTCCAAATCTATATCTGCTGTGCCTATTCCCCTATTCTGATTAATGTTCTAATGAGGTTAGGCTTAATGTTTCACCTTTATCCATTGAGTTGCTATTAACTACTCTGTGGTGCTGAAGGCATTGTTCTATAACTTATTCTGCTTAAATTCAAGTCTAGCATTCATTGTGGAAGGTTTCATATGGCCACAAAGGCTTTATTGATGGATTTCTCTCATGTATAGATTTCTAAATTTGGAATAATGTTAGCTGTGCTTAGAAATTATTTTTTCATTTTGCATATTGTTTTATTGTTGTTTAGACCTGATCAAATGTGTTTTACATGAATTTCTCTGATTAATTTAGCATTAGGCTTTCATTGTGGTAGTCTTTATTGTCTATGGTTGTTTATGCCTATGCTTTTTTATTATGCAAATCCTCAATTGATCAATTGGCCATGTCTTTATTGTCTTTCCTAGACATGTTGCTCTTGGATTCTTGATTATCTGATGGTCTGCTGGGTTTCACAATTTTCTAATTAATAATGTTATGCTATGTCTTGCTGAATATATTTTGAACTTTATTATTGATGCTTTAAAATTTTTCCAGTAGTTTTGAATTTTCCATTGTCTAAGCTTGGTTTTTATATTGAAAGTTAAGGGAGTTGCTATTTTTCTCTCCCTATTGTTCTTTCTTTTGACTGATTGATTCAAGTAGATTCTTGATTTTCTTCCTCTTCTTGTGACTACATTTATATTTGTGTATTACTTTTTGTTATGTTGGTTGGTTTCTTATAGCTCCACAATGGCACCTTCCAACAAGAAAAAGACCACTAAACGTAAAGCTTCATTAAAGGCTACTTCATCCCACACCAAGCGATCTGCTAAGTCACATGCCTCTACTCGTATTGATAAAGGCTCCCCACTTTCAGCTGAAGATCAAGCTATGTCATGGCCCACTGATACCTTTTATGTACTAGTGGCTAAGGTTAGTATAATGACCCTCAATTTTAGGAAAAAAATTCTCCCAATAGATATATTATTTAAATAAAATTTATAATAAGTAGAATTGGTAGTTTAGAGGAACTCATGAAAAAAAAATTTCTGAGGATCTAAAGCTTAAATTTTTCTACACAAAAATTTAATTTTTAAAATTGTAGGAAAATCTTATGCCCTTTTCTGTAAAATTTTTGTGCCTCTTATTGTGATTTTTGTGGTGCTTCTTTTGTAATTTTTCACATTACTTCTTTTAGTCTGAATCAGCTTTTTTTTCACGCGAAAAAAAACAGGGCATCTCGATCTTTCTTCTCACCGCCATCATACACCTCTCTAGATCCTCATATAGTCGGTTCATTTCTCTAAACCTTACACACACTCTTTACTCACTGTCAACTGTGAATTCACGTTGCTACTGTTGCTTATCTGCTGTCATTCTCGTCGCTCGTTTTCCCGCCACAGTGAAGCTGAGCTGCTGCTTCTCTTTCCCTATCATCAGCTGTTCCTTTATTATGTACTCTCAATGATTTGTTCATCTCCGTCGTGTGGAGTAGCTGACAATCTCTTCCCCATTTCTGCTCTGTTTATCGCGGATGAAGGTGTGTTTTTGCATGCTCTATTCTGTTTATTTTTTTTCCTTCTTCCTTAGCTGTTAAAAAGTTTATGTGCGCGTGTGTGTATGGTAGATTGATGATGTTGTTTGCTGGTTGGATTTTGGTCTCCTTCCTTCTCGTACGTGTCGAAATCTGAAGCTCTTCTTCGTTCCTTCTTTGCTGTCATTCTTGCTTCTGTTCAAGTTGGCTTCCGTGTGTATGTACGTGTGCGTGTTTAGCTTCACCTATTATTGTTTCTCAAGTGCTGAGTGTCTTGCGTATTTATATGTAAGCTCAAATTCTTTGCTTTCTTGGCCACGATAGCTGGTCTTCTTCCTTATCATCCGAGCTGCAAAATAGAGCATTTCGTTTTTGTCTTTTCCTTTCTAGCGTTGAATACATGATGGTTCTAAGCTGTCATCGCTGCACCTAAGGTTAAGGCAAATCATTAATTCTCTCTTCTCCCTCTTCGAGTACAACAACAGCCATGAAACAATCCCTTCCTTTTCCAAATTGCTTGATGTGGTCCTGTTCCTTCTTCTTGGTGTTTTACCTTCGGCTAGGATTGAAGTGTTGATTTCAGTTGGAGGCTGGAAATCTTTCAATTATGTTGAGTTGAAATATAATTAATAATAAAATAAAAAATAAATTGAAGATTAGAAGTTGTTGAAATTTCTTGGTTATTTATTTCATAATTTTGTCAATTATAAATGCATGCCTTCAAGGTAATTGTAAAAAGGTATGAGAGAAGAATTGGGAGAATTATAGTTTTTTTTAATCTTTTATATTATAGCTTGAAAGGAGTAAATGTAAGTTTTAGTTTAAATTATTAATTATTTTAAAACTACTAAAGAAAGAAAAAATGATTATATAGGATGTTTGTTTATTTTATTTTTTTCTTTAGTTTAGAGGAAGTTTAAGAATGATTGATATAATTTATAGTGAATTATGATTGACTAGGGTCATAAGGGAGTAGGGGGATAAATTGAGAGTTGTCAAATCATTTGACTAACTCAAGTATACTTGAAATGTAATTGGTTATAGTGTTATTAGTATTGGTTAGATTGAATGTTGATACACATTAAGTGCTTGTAAGATTATTTGATGAATGATTTTAAAATTTTGACTCATTTGTCAAGACATTAAGGGCTTCATTAGAATAGAGGTCAAAAGTTAAAAGAAGCAAGTTTTAGAATCCTTGGGAAACACTCAGGTAAGTGGATAGCATCCCAACTGATTTTTTTTAATCAAAATTTCATTTATTAAAATACTACGTTTTTCTGGAAATCATTTTAATAACATTAATGCGATTATTGGATATTTGTTGATTAATATTTCTTTATTTTGTGAAATTAGCTTTACTGAATTTGAAATGTTATTTGACCAATTAAGTCAAGTTTGAACTTTGATTATAACATTTTTATTTTATCAAATATTGGATTGATACAGAGAATGATTCATGCGAGTTTGACATTGAAATTTTTTTCAATAAATGCAAGCATGAGCATTGGATATGAAATTTGATTCTGACAAGTTTTAATGCTTAAAAGTATTCATGCGAGTTTGATTTTAAGAATGAGAACTGTATCTTAAATGTGATGATTTTCTCGCATGTTTGAAAATGGTTTTAAAAAGGGACTTTATATAGAACACTGGTTGCTAACGGCAGTTCCGTTAGCCCTTGACGCGCCATAGTACACCTAGCTAGCAGGGTGTTCATAGGAGGTGCTAGCCCCGTGCGATGGCCAACGCACGTGGAATGGAGGGATGGTTATTCGTGAGCATCGTACACGTTTGTTTCGTGGCTTCAAGCCGCGTTTGGTTAGCATTACCTTTGTGGACTGTGTGTCCACGTTTGTTTCGTGGCTTCGGCTACGTTTGGTTACTTACCCTCGTGAATTTTGTGTCCACGTTTGTATTCGTGGCAATAAGCCGCGTTCAGTTATTTATCCTCGTGGACTGTGTGTCCACGTTTGTTTATTGTTCTAATAAGTCCCTAAAAGAAAATTTGTGAATTTGATTATTTGATGATTTTATATTCCATTGGTTTTTATCTAGTAAATTATTTACAACCATTTATTTCATTTATGTGCTTTCTGAAAATCAAGTGATAAAAATATTTGTTATGATAGTTCAATGGTTTAAGATTTTTTAAAATTTTATAGAATCATTTTATTTTAAAGTTTATTAAATTTTTATGAAAATTTTTGTCTATTTGACTTACATAATTATTTCAAACTTTCCTTTTTAATTATGTTCATTTTTTTTGGACGTTATTCACTGGAAAATATTTTTGGTCTTAGATACCTTAGCTGAAGCTGATCCTTATACTGATCTTGAGAACTTTTACGCGTACTGAGTGGAGAGTTGATGGAAGTCTCTCTTTTTGATGTAATGACAATTTATGTGTAATTCATTCTAGAAAATATGGCCAGGTGCTCCACGACTATGGCTAGGGTTTCTATTGAATACACACACACACATGTATGTTGCTTGTTGGCTGGGAGGAGTTGAGTTCCCAATTGATATAAGATTTTTGTAGAAATTTTGTATTATAAAATTTTTGAGAGCTTGCACTTAGAGGGAAGGGTTTGTTAAAATTTCTACAAAATATTAAAGCTTTGTTATAATGATTAGTATCAAGATAAATCTGATTATATTTTAGAAATGAAATTAACTTACGTTTTGAGGCTTACAAGAATGTGTGGTACGATTCACACCCTGTGCTGGTCACCCTCTATTTTTATTGCACGAAATGCGCGACGGCGCACCTATCATTGCTGTCGTGACAGCTTTTCTGGACGAATTTCGAACGTACGTCATTTTCACATCCGATGTTCGATTTGAATGATTCAAGCGCCCACGCGAAGCTTATTCAACAAGCAATCTAATGGTGCAAGTTTCGTTACAATCTGACACTATATGAGAATTTTAGATACTCAGATGAAAAAGTTAGTTTTTCAAAAAAAATTTCAACCATTCAAGTACCCAAAACTCATAACCAATACCATTAACCTATTGTGAGGCTTGAACCAAGTCCAATGGACCACAATACACTTGAGTGACCAATCAAACACACAAAAACATACCAAACATAAAATTTGGCCACTCAATGGCCATTTTACCCAATATGGCCAAAATGCAAAATTAGCACTATAAGCACTATTTAGCCTCTATTGCCACATAATACACTACCAATACATTATCACCATTTAGATAAAACATTCCTTGCACTTGTATTAGTATTTTAGCCCATCACCATAAAAATTTCTACATATTCACATCACATACCATATTGGGTTAAAATACAAAACAACATAGTATGAAATAAGTGCAACCAATCAAAATGATATGCATTCCTAGTTGGCAACATATAATATCATATAGCAAGTTTATGTACACTACTCAAACTAAAATTGGGCTTTACAAAGAATATAGCAGATATGCTAGCCCCTGCCCGATTCTCTCCTTAGCTCAGTCTTACTGGTAGCACCTGTAAAATGATAATCCACGGGGTGAGATAAAAATCTCAGTAACTAAGATAATCTACATTATTGATTAACAAGCCAAGTTATAAACAAGTATTAAAATGAGTAACATAATCACATCATATAATATCACCACAAATTTGCATGCATGATCCCTAACCATCCGGTCCTCCAATACTCCTGACCGAACTAGTAGGCTATTTCACAGAACCAAACCACATGTATGGTCCCCAAGCTCACCATCCATGGTAGGACTACCCGGCCAAGATGTCCTGAACCACTTTCGAACTACTATTTTCCCCTATTATAAGTAATTGGGGTGTCGTTACTCCAACACCGCATCCTACGGATGTTAAGGAGCATAGTCTCCAACTCCACACCCTTTTGAGTACTAAGGAGAGTAAGTCTCCAACACCGCACCCATTTTCGAGCACTAAGGAGAGTAAATGCTGCACCTGACGTCCCTAGGTACCAGCAATGCCATATGGACTTAATCTTCACTATCTCCACTAGGGTGACCTCCTACCCTCTAATAAGCCACATTTCACTACATATCTCCACTTGACCATGCATAAACAACTTTTGAAACAAGTATAACAAAATCTTGCCATTTACTTCAAAAATATAGAATTTTACAAACTAATACTCCACTTTTTCTAAAATAGTTAACCTTTAAAGAATTTATACATATATACTCAACAAATTATAGAAAAGCACTTGAGAATAACTTATACAAGGTAATAAACAATGAAAATTATCTAATTAATTACCTCAACCCTTTTGTGACTAAAAGGGTTACTCGTGGTACTAATTCTCTTCTTGTGTCAAGGTAAGTCTTCCCACACCACAACCTACAACAATAAGTACTATATGTTAATTTTCAATTAACACAAGCACCATTAGCTAATAATAACCTCCCAATTCTCCCACTTCTCACTCAAGTCCTCAACAAATAAACTTGTCAAGATTAGATTTGTTCACTTCATCCCTTCAAGTCTCCTTCTAACTCTATCACAACATAAAACTCAATATCTCAACTTATCACACTTCAACACCCTATGATCAAGATAAAGCTTGATCCAACTCCCACTAAACAATAAAGTAGCTTCATATTACCACATATCTAAGATCAATAAATCTAAATTAAACCTTTAGAGTCAATAGAAACCTTTAAAACATTGACTCATGGCTTAATCCAATCAGACCAAATTCTCACTCTTTCAAATCCCATGAAAAATGAGATGAAAAGGTAGAGGAGAAGGGTAGGAAACTTACCCAAGAGTTTGAAGGCTCAAATCATCTTCAAAATTTCTCCTAAATTGATGCCTTAGTAGTGCCCAAAGTTGCCCCCTTCGTGCTCTAGGTTTTCTACCCCAAAATCTGAGTTTTTCTGCTGATTCCTGAAAATTTAAGTTGCTTGCTGTACCGTGCGCCACAGCGCACGCCACGCAAGCCACGGCTCATGGTGCAGTGAGCAACAACTTGTTTTTTCTCCCCCTGATGCTTCTCGATTTGATC